TTAAAATTAATAAAAAAAAATTAATATGTAGTATGTAGTTTGTGTTTCGGGCTCGTCTGAACTCGAAATTGAGTTCCGTTTTTTTCTATACGTAGCTAACGAACCCCTCTATTCAATGATGCTTGCATGACCAAATTATTCTTGAAATCATATTCTCCCAAAGTTCTTGACCGATACATTAAACGTGTTTTGCGCGACTTTGCTTTTTGGGCCCGTTCGAACTCGTCCAAGCTCGAAATTGATTTCCGCTTCTTCTATATGTTGCCAATGAACCCTTCTACAAAACCATGATTGCCCGGTCAATTTTCGGGCTACTTCTATACCTCACGGGCTAAATAATTAACAAATCACTCATTATATAAATAGATGGTCCATGGAGAATTTGTTAATGGGTGATTTGTTAATTATTTAGCCCTGTGAGGAATAGATTTAACCCAAAAATTGACCAGACAATCATGGTTGTGTAGACGGATTCGTTGACGACATATAGGAAGAAACGAAACTCAATTACGAGCTTGGACGAGTTCGAACGGGCCCAAAAAGCAAAGTCGCGCGAAACACGTTTAATATGTAGGTCAAGAGCTTTGAGAGAATATGATTTCAAGAACAATTTGGCCATGCAAGCATCATTTTTAATTTTTTATAACTTAATTCCTAATTCAAATTTTTTTACAGTTCGATTGGGTGCCCTATGAACAAAACCTGGAGCATGGTACTCTCTAAGATGAGTGCATAGAAGATCAACATATTTGGATGTATAAGGGGTGAATCTTCTGTTGGAACAAACGTGAAGTTCACTTGTTTGATAAGGTTCTCCGTCAGTTTTGGTGTCAGCAGTCCATCCCCCAAAATCCGATGATTAGTGGTGAGCAAGAATGGGAGACACACCAGAGAGGCCAGAGAATGACTGAGAGGGCATTTGGTGATCGGGCCGCCATTCATTCACAGCTTACCAAGGGCTGAGTCCATGAAAGAGAACAAAATGTTCTCCAAGATGCCCATGTGGATCACTTCCTACATGCTAAGGAGGGCTACATTGATTAGTTTTACACTAGGACTGTGAGACTTATCAGTGACCCTACCAAGTACACGGTGGTCCAACATGACGGCGACTATCATATAGTTGTCGAGTGGGAGAAGTGCGATGTAAGTGTTCATAATTTGTGGTTTCTTTATTATTATTATTATTATTATTATTATTATTATTATTTGTGTTTCATACTAATTATTTTTAATTTTATTTTCAGACTCAAGCCCTGGAGGGGGTTTATAACTCGTTACGAATATTCAAGACATATTTCCTACACTCCCTCCACGGGCGCAAGCTGCATTCCAACAGTCCTACAACCTTGTCTATAATTCTCTGACAATTGGAGGTCAAGAGGTCATACAAGGGGCGTCGTTCAGTCAACTTCTATCCGAAGAGGATTACGTTCCATCCCAGAGAACACAGTAACACAGGGCGAGGCATCAACCCGTGCCAACATTGGTGGAGGTAGAAGACATCGTGACCGCAAACGACAACAACACCCGTTCGGACTCGTCTAAGCTTGAAATTGAGTTCCGTTTCGTCCTATATGTCGCCAACGAACCCGTCTACACAACCATGATTGCCCGGTCTATTTTCGGGCTAAATTTATTCCATACAGGGCTAAATAATTAACAAAACACCCATTAACAAATCCTCCATGGACCATTTATTTATATAATCGGTGATTTGTTAATTATTTAGCCCGTGAGTAATAGAAGTAGCCCGAAAATTGACCGGGCAATCATGGTTGTTTATAAGGGTTTATTGGCGACATATAGGAAGAAGCGGAAATCAATTTCGAGCTTGGACGAGTCCGAACGGGCCCAAAAGGCAAAGTCGCACGAAACACGTTTAATGTATCGGTCAAGAGCTTTGGGATAATATGATTTCAAGAATAATTTGGTCATGCAAGCATCATTGAATAAAGGGTTTCGTTAGCTACGTATAGGAAAAAACGGAGCTCAATTCCGAGTTCAGACGAGCCCAAACGAGTCTGAAACACAAAATACATACTACATATTAATTTTTTTATTCATTAATTAAAATATAAAACATATTATCAAAATACGCTTTAGTTCTTAATTAGTTGTTTTAGTTCTTAATTATTTGTAAAATGTATAACTAAAATACGTTTTATTTAGTAATTTTTTTAAAACATGTTATATGAATACGTTTTATACTGAATTATTCGTAAAACGTATAACAAAAATACGTATTATTTATTATTTTTTTGTAAAACGTATTATATAAATACGTTTTATACTGTAATATGAATAAAATATATTCCGAGAATACGTTTTACACTCTAAAATGTATTCTCAGAATACGCCCTTTTTATTTTTGTCCATATTTTTTNAGTTGGATTACATGAATAAAAAATTTTCTGAAATTATCAGGTGAAACAAAAGAAAAATGATATATCCAAATCCAATCGCTCGCTACAAAACAATCGTCTATTAAGCACGTCTATTTCCCATCCGACTCCTTTTAAGCACGTCTATTTCTACAAATAAAAAAAAAAAAAATTAATTCCAATAAAAAAATTCAGACGAAAATATATTCTAACAAAATTCAACGAATATTCTAATGTTAAAACTTATGTTGAAAAATTTCAACAAAATTTTTTATAAAAGTACTCCAGCAACGAATTTTTCATTAAAATTTAGATTGTATTTTAATAATTCCAATAACTATTTTTTTGATTGAAATTATTGGTGAAAATAATGAATTCTAATGAAAATCACATAATCCAACAAATCAAAATACGCCTCTTAATAATTAATCAATAAACATTTTACAGATTTGATGATTAAAAAATTATGTAGAACTAGCTAGTTAATGCGGTCAAGTTTACAAATTACAATTCAAATGACTTTAGGAATTATGCAAGTATTTGCTCTACCCTTTAAATTAAATCTAGTGTTGACCTCCTCAGTTGTTCATCAACACAATTTAATTGGCCATTGGTTTAAATGTACTTTATATAATAAGTTTTTAAATAGTTCGTCAATTATATTGAATATCATAGCCGTTGTTTCCACGTTCCACCATCATGACTTCCTGGTTACGTTCTTAGACTTCAACATTATGTAATAATTTTTAAGAGATAGGAGAGGAGAAGAGACAAATAGAATTATTTATTAATCTTAATTTCGGTGCAGCACGTGGTATGTTATTTTATCATATGTGAAATATTTAATTATAGTACTTTATTATCAATTAATTGATACTAATATGACACCGTGTACTACTCGTCTAAGAAAATATATTTGTACAATAAAAAAATTAGTACATAAAAGTATTTATATTTTTATGGTGAAACTACAAAAATGAATTTATAGTGTATTTACTATTTATAATGGCACACATTTTTTGATGGATAATAATTAATAATTTTATTATTATTAAATATGAAATTTACTTATATTTATTCTTAAATATGAAATTTATAAATATTCCATCTTTTGTATGCTTCGGATACATAAGTTTTAAAATTGTTTATATTCATGATCATACTTAATATCTTAATATTATTTTAAGCTATAGAACATACAAAAAGACAATTTTTATGGCATATTTATCTAAATACTTTTTATTTTACAAGATAATATACAGTTTAGTTGATTTTTTTTTAATTTAGGTTGATAACTAAATTTAAATTTTATTTATAAAGATAGACGATTTAAGTATATGTCATATGGATGTCAAATTGAAGATTGTCTAAAGATAATCAATTTGATGTAAAGTTATTAAATTTTAAAATATGCTAAAAAAAATTATGGTATTAAATGAACGAAAAGTCAAAACAAATAATATTAGTTCAGTATGATAATAAATACATACTTACCAAAGTTACTAATAGAATATTTTTGTCAAATATCAAACATGCTTCCAAACCAATAATGCTTATACAAACCAAACTACAAATTGTGTCACGTAGATATTCGAAGCATGCGAGTCTTTCATGTAAGCTCAACATATTTTGCATTAATATATAGGTGGATTTGAATAAATTTAAAGACCATTAACAAGTTTGTGAGTATTAATGAAACTTATATAGATCAATCAAAGAATTAGTCAATTGAGAACAAACATTTTCTTTTTCTTTCAAGTCATATTATTTTGAATATGTATTTTGGTAATATGTCAAATATACACATATCTATGTCTATGTTTGTATTGTATTTAAATAGCTTTTCGTGGAGCAAATTTCATGTTAAATAAAAAAAAATGTATAGTTTATATCATGCTTTATAAATAAAGTAGAACTATATATATGATTCATTTTAATAGATATTGATGTTTTTTTTTTTTTATTTATATATATATTCAAAATACAATAAGTTCATTTATCTAACCATTAAACCGTATAACTTATGACAACTTCATCGATATATGATACACATATGAACTTGTTTGGTAAACATATATTTAGTCCAAATTAAATGTCGATGACAAAATTAGAGGGTTGATTTGTCAAAAGTCAAAAACATTGAGTTGAGAGTTTGATAAACATATGACTTAGCTGTTAAGAAAAACTAGTACTATATATATGTGCACGAAGTCAGTTCAATTATATTAAGTATTACCTTCAGTTTAAACTCAATAATATAAATAAAACTTAAAATAAAGTTTAGGAACCTTATTATGCAAGTAATAAGGTTGGGGAACCGGCAGTGCAAAGCCAGTTCTAGTTTGGAACCATTTTATTTATTTATTTTGCTTATGGAAAAAATGTTGGAAACCATTATTCCACCAGAACCAACGTTGTCAATCGATCTTGACAGTTGGGCTTTAAATTTAAATTCAAAATTTGGATTTTTTCACAGTTACCTGTTCGAAACCGGAATTGTTGGTTCAACAAAGGAAAAATGGAATTTTTTTGTATGGTTCCATTTTTCCTTGACTTGCTGAACCAAAACCAGCACATGTAATGTACAGACCCCTTTCAGGCTTGGAACACTCGGCTTTAGGTCAACGAGCCGGAACAGGCGGATTCATGGGCCAGAGCAGCCCAGTGGTCAAGTCTGTCACCAACGAAACAAGGAATAAATGAACTAGCAGTAAGTGTGTTTCATATTGTGGCTGTACTAACCTAAATACTAGGTACAAAACGAATTCAATAAGTTACACAAGTACACAAAACACAGACCAGTTCTCCTGCCTTCTATTTTCAGATAAAAATAGAAACTAAAGGAGGAGACGAGATTACCAGAATGAATGAACAAACAGCAACTATCGAGCAAGTACTATACAACTTCCGTGTTTACGACCAGTAGTATGAAAATATGCTTTTGCAGTGAGTTGCAACTTGCAGCATTTAGAAGTTAGTACTTGATCACGTGATGGCGTAACCAAAGTTCATACATGACCATATGGAATGCATCGTGATCCTGGGGAGGTGTGTTCCACTGGAAGTGCTTCTGCACCTGAGAAAATATTATCATCAAGAATTTCATTTTTCTGACCACAATAAATGCACGACAATATGCTCGGGTAATGTTGCAAAATTATACATCATAGAATACATCCAAGTATTTCGACATAAACTATCACCTTCACACTTCCCTTGGGTGACAAGAATATTTACAAGTAGATAAGGCTAGGTTTGTACCTTCACCAAATTGTTGTGCAGCATGACAAATTCTTCTTGTGTAATGTTCTTAAGAATTTGCTTCAGTTGGTAGACATCTTTCTCCTTTAGGACTACTGAGAACTTGTGCCAGTTCAAAATGTCATTGAAAGGCAAGTCATAGTAATTAGAGAGTATCACTGCATAAAATCCATCCAAAGTTGATCACAGATAGTTATATAAACTGAATTCTTATAGATGCAAACAAGTTGCAGCATGAGAAGTAACTTAGTAATGATTTTCTTGAACTAAATAAAGTTACATAAGGCACAAATGTAATCAAGCAGATAATGAAATAACAAGCACTACTAATCATGTAGACGCTAACTGATCTTTTCTGGAGTTCCTTTACTATCACAGCAAATCACAGCAAAATAAGAGTAGATTGAATAATAATTTAGGTGGCAACCTTAGACTAGAATTAAGGCCACTGGTCCATTAGCGAGATATTCAAAATTTACAGTGAAAACAATTGGTTCAAGAACTATGCATGTAAATAAAGAACAAAATGAAGTACAATCATAAAAGGATAAGTGAATGAGTTATTCAGATCAGAACACGTTAAATGAATAATGCGGAACTAGATGTAGCAGATTTACTCCATTTTTATTATGAGCATTGCTTGTTTAATCTTTTTTATGTCATAATTATTAAATATGTTACTAGGTATGAGTGAGGTTCCATAACCTTACAGAATTTATAATCACTCATGTTTTCATGAATTGTTAAAAACTATATCTCATTAGTTCATCATACTTTTTTATCAGAAGTTAGAGTTGGATAAAATTAGAACCCTAAAAGTTCGGAAAGAGTAATTAGTTGGAATCAGTATCAATCTTCCAAGACTATGATGAAACTTCAAACTAATAATGAACTATAACAACAGAGCATTGGATGAACGACAAGGAGACATCCTTAAACACAATGTTTCCATATGCTATGGAGTGGAGAAATTGGGATTTACATTGAATGGAGAAATCAGGATTACTACTCACCAGGTATGCATCCATAATGAATAGAGTCAGCTACACGAGCACTATTGACTTGAGAGCCACCAGGGCAAATGCAAAATTTTGTTCTGTAAAATCTCTTCTGATACACCAAATGTCCAGTTGCCCTGTTAATTCTATTATTTGAAATATCAAGTTCAGTATCATTTTCCCATACTTGCGCCAGTATGACCCTAATCTTGAAATTTGCAAGATTCAGATATCAGTAATCAATTCCTCAAATCTCGTAGGAAGTGAAACCATTACAACTCCACTGCACAGTAAGTTAGTAACTCTTCGTAAGTCCATCAAATGGAAACCTAGAACAAGCCTTCAGGAAATAGACAGACATTCTCATTGTGTTTTAATCTAAAGTACATGCACTGTTTTCGTTAAAAAAACAAAGACAATAGGTGGTAAAGAACTTATACGAAGATGTAGGCCAAGCACTAATGAGAAGTCGGCATGGTAACAGAGCTTGTAATGAACGTAAGTGTTGATGAGGGAAAAATTTATTCATAGGACAAAATGGTCAAGGCAGATGGAACCTAAGTATGACGAGTAATCATTTTTGGATGCAACATCACATCCAGGAATTGGTGTAAATGGAAAACCGAACAAAACTTAAAAGCAATAATATAGGACCAGAAGAACTTGTTGGAATTGGTGGACATGGACAGATGTCAAACACTTGATCAGATTACTACCTTTTTTCAGTGAGATAAGGTGGACATAACAGCTATGGTAAAATAATACCAAATGCAATTAGTTGAATGCTATAGAAGGTAATAAGTATCACAATATCACACTTGGATAAGAAGGTGGTAAGCATGGTGACGAACATAATAACATCATGAAATTGGTATCTTTGGCAACTCCAACAAGCAAGCTAACAGAACAGTAAAACAAGAGTTAAAGCGCTTAATCATACTGGGAAATGGCCTAACCTGCCCCTCATAACTCACTATCTTCTAAAAGATTCACAGGACCTCTTGATTACTGCTGTTAAGATTCAGAACTACGCAGTCCCCCACTAATGAGTTGGAGATTCTCCAGAGAACACCTTCCATTTATAATAAAAATAGCTACATTTCTTCCGGACGCACTTAGAAATAATTTACATTCTAAATGAAGGCAAAACTGAAAGAAACAAAAGATTAAAAAGACACACCTTGCCTCGCATCTTATGACAAGAGATTGGGATAAAGAACAAATCCGCCCGATCCGGATCATCCGTTGTGAAGTTACTCTCCCTCAGATTCTGAAAAACGTATCCTTCGCTGGCGTATTTACCGGTAAGCTTTCGCGGCGTCTGGTAATAAGTATTCGGATCTCCATCAGAGTATATGTACACCTTAATTTGCCTCATCATCTCCTCATAATTCAACCTGAACACCTTGGGCAGATGGTAAATGTCGTCTTCCGCGTCATCACTCGGGTCTCGGCCTTCCTTTTCTGGCACGAACACTTTCTCGGCATGATCCACGCCTGCATCTCCAACAACCTAAACGGCAAAAGAAAGAACAAGATAAAGCTAAAAGTTTACTGGAAATCAACAGATTCCATAGACCAAAAAAGGATGCAGATGGTGGTACCTTGGGCAGAAGGCGTTGCACTGTGAGAGGGGATGGTGTAGCAGAGGGGGATGATCGGAGAGAAGGGGAGTGCAGGGGTTTAAGGGACAGGTAAGTGAATGAGACGAGGGTTACAATAGGAGAGTGAGAAGAGAGCTTCGGAGAGTGCATACTGCGGCAGAAGGCGGTGGCTGAGATAGTTTCATCGCCGACATTGCCGGGATAGAGCTGGTGGCTGCCGGATCGTTTAACAACGGTTTCCAGTATATAATCGGATTTTCCTGTTGAGTAGCTTCTGTGTTCAATTGACAAGCAGAGCAAGCGGATTATAGTATTATCCTTTAAATTATTAAATTATTTTATTATCTTTTATTATCACGAAATCAATCTTTATTATGATAAACCTAATTTATATATGTTATGATCTTCAATTATATATTTCGCATTATATCTAATTATATCTCCACTAAAGCTTTGGCAAATGAGTTGGATTGGACATGAACTTCATGTTTATATAAAGATAAAGGTTAATAGTTATATTTATATTTATAAATGAAAACTAAATTATTTATTAATTCTAATTGAACACACTCTAAGTAGGTGATGACTGATGAGAATGGTTTTTTTAGGCGCCTCGGGACGAGGAGGTTCGAGGGCCAAGAGGACCCGAGAAGGCCAAGCAAAGGTCAAAAAAAGGCATGCATATAAAGTGTGATATTTTTATTGTTTTCATTGTTCCATGCAAAGGGCAAAAAAGGCATGCATATAAAGTGTGATATTTTTATTGTTTTCATTGTGATTTTGGAACGTAAGTGTGATTTTTTTTTTTTCAGTGTAATTTTTTTATTTACAAGTCATCGATTCTAGTTAAATCTCAATAAGTGTTAAACGTAAATATAGCACATGCTTTAAACACTAACACCAATAGATACAAATCAATCCATGCAAATCATCTCAGCCCACTATTTGTGATATATATACTACCGATTC